CCCTTTCGGAGACAAAAATAGCCACAGAGAGTGGCGGTGGTGGTGATGGTGGGGGTGAGAGGAGGAAAAAGCACAGGAGAGAGAGATGGCAAAGCGGAGAGGGAAGAAGAAACCAGGGCAAGAAAAGGGGGACTCTTTGGAAACGCTCCTCCTAATTGCTCCCTCAAGCATTCTGGGAGCTCTCCGCTGCTGTCGGCATCCTAACCCTTCTGGAGGACAGCCGGTCCTCATCAAGGCTTATATTTTTCAGCCAATGTTTCTTCGTATACCTGGGGAACCTCCCCGAGTCAGTAGAATCCCCTGCTTCGTCTGTAGCCCACCAAAGTACAAATGACGGTGGCCAGTTATGGTTCTCTAAAAACCGCAGCAGGGATCCAATCTGGATCAGGCGTGCGGTGCGGCGGCTCCAGAAACCCTTGTCCCCCCCTCCCATGGCTGTTTCGGCTCTTGAAAAGGGATATGCGTGTGTGGGGAGGGAACAAGAGGTTCTGGACCCGCCGGTCCAAACTGGATTAAGGCTTCACAGCCATCTCTTAGGAACTACACTTGCAACTATAACGGCGTTGGCGGTCACTTGTCGTTTGAAGAAGAAGAGATTGGATTTATACCCCTCCCTTCACAACAGACACCCTGTGAGGTAGGCGAGGCTGAGAGGGCTCTTTCCAGAATTGTCCTCGAGAAAACAGCTCTGACAGAACTATGGCTCGCCCAAGGTCATCCAGCAGCTGCAAGTGGAGGAGGGAGGAATCAAACCCTTGGATAATGGCGGCGGAAGACCTGTAAGCGCTGCCCATGCTCTGTCCACCTCAGGACCGGCCCCCCACTTCCCCAGAAAGGCAAACTAGACAAACCATCTGGTGCATAAAAATTTATTCCAGTCATCGGTAATCAGCTGATAGTCATATGGCCACACGAGAGATTGTGACGGTGAGGGAGTGGTAAGAGCTGGAAGCCCACTTCGTCCTTTCCCCCAGGCCTCACTCTGAATCGGCGGGCCCCGCTGCCGACGCACGCCAACACGCAGTGGGGAAAGAGGCGAGAGGTAATCACACAACTGTACATCATTCCCTGGTGCACTGTGACCATGGCCGACGAACCAAGGGTCATGGAGCTCAGGTCCTACACGGTGTTCCCACTAAGCGGCGTTCGTGTGAGCTAGCTCACGGTATTTTCGCCTCTGGCTCACACATTTTTGTCTTCGCTCAGGAAGGATGGCTCCAGAGCAGACTAATTTTTGCAGTAGCCCAATCGCTCGCTCACAACTTTCATGCCAGGAGCTCACGAAGTAGGATTTTCGCTCACGAGACTCCACAGCTTAGAGGGAGCATTGGTCCTACATGCAATACAGGCTGACGCTGGTTAGCCTTTGCCAGCAATTTTTAAGGCCAGTTCTCCCGTTCACTTTGCCCCACACACTGGCCTGGTCTGCACAAACAAGTGCGATGGAAAAAGCGTTCCTGGACTGCACCCCTCGACACTGTGTTTGAGGGACTGGCGGGACTGAACGCTCTTCTGTATAAATAGCCGGCTACAGGAGAAGAAGAGGCCTCTTTGTGGTTCTTCACATGCAGGTAAATATCCTTCTCCATGGGGATGTCCTTGACGGTGCATTTAACACATCTCAATCAGTACACAGCCCGGGGACACGTCACTGTTGCTGTGCATGTTAAGACTCTGGAGGGGGGGGGGAGAGCACGTTTAACAGGTAACGTGGCCGTATACTTTGGGTCCGACACACGCAACAAACGTATCGGGACTAGACCAATCACTCAATCGGTTTTCAAGTCTGCATCGGTGGGGAGGTCCGATGGACGAAACGGGGATCACAGCGATGCAGAATGAACGACTTGTTTCCGGGGACCGGTCCAGACCAAATGTGGTCTTAGCGGACCAAACAGGTGTCAATCAATGTTCCCTCTAAGCTGTGGAGTCTTGTGAGCAAAAAATCTACTTTGTGAGCTACGGGCATTCAAGTCGTGAGCGAGCGATTTGGCTGCTGCATCGATTAGTTTGCTCTAAAGCCATCCTTACTGAGCTGAGACAAAAATGTGTGAGCCAGAGGTTAAAAAACTGTCAGCTAGCTCACACGAACTCAGCTTAGAGGGAACACTGGTGTCAATCAAAGAAGCCACGAGGGAGCGAAGAATTCAGGTGAGATCCTGCGGGATTTGACACTAAGGATGCTGGGATGGGGGCGGAGAAATCTGGCCCCACTCTTTTCAAGGAAATGCACAGGACAGAAGTCCAGGGGAATGAACACACAGGACCGAGAGGGTTACAGGTGGTGTTCCCTCTAAGCTGAGCTAGTGTGAGCTAACTCAAAGTTTTTTAGCCTCCGGCTCACACAGAGCAGACTAATTGATGCAGCAGCCCAATCGCCCGCTCACAACTTTAACGCCAGTAGCTCACAAAGTAGAATTTTTGCTCACGAGACTCCACAGCTTAGAGGGAGCATTGGTTACAGGTTGCATTTCCCGTCACTGGTCCCTCTTTCCCATCAACATGGAATGTAAAGCTTTACAATGGATGCTTTTCCCTTTCATCCTCACAAGAGCGTATTGCAATCCCCCCAAGCCCGGCAACCAAATATCTACCGAGCGCTGAACATTCTTTGTCGTCTGGGCGGCAGAAAAGACGCGGCATCGGTCCTTCTGGAGCAGGGGAGAGTTATGAGATTCCATGAGCACTGAGAATTTCGCTAGGAGCCACACTGTTTGTGGCCCAGCAGTCAAATTTCCTGAGTTTAAAGGGCTACTTCCGAGAGGCACGCCGTTCCTGAAGACCCGTGAGAAACTGCTGTCTCTCATGTTATGGGGTGAGTCCCATGCTAAGGAAAAGAACAGAATAAAGACAACATACAAGCGAGCAACGCTTAGGTACTATTCAAATTAGAGTGGTAGGAATACCTGTATAACGGAGCTGCGGTGGCTAAAGTGCTTAAGATGCTGAACTGCAGACTGTGGAAGATCGGTAGTTCAGCAGTTCAAGACCCAAGTGCGCCGTATGACGGAGTGAACTCCCGTCTCTAGTTCCAGCTCCTGCCAACCCAGCAGTTCGAAAGCAAGAAATTGCAAGTAGATAAATAGGTACCACTTCAGTGGGAAGGTCACAGCGTTCTGTGCACCTTGGTGTTTAGTCATGCCGGCCACATGACCAACGTCTTCGGACAGCGCTGGCTCTTCAGCTTTGAAACGGAGATGAGTACCGCAACCCTAGAGTCGGATTCGACTGGCTTTCGAGCAAGGGAACCTTTACCTTTTTAATACCTGTATAGCATCTACAAATGTCGAGCAGGCAAGTACATAGTAAACGTATTTAGTATTCCAACAGGTAGCGTACAATGTATTTCCAGTCTTCCAACAGGTAAGTATACTAATATAGAACAAGACCACGGTACAAGTAAAAAGCAAGTCTTATGGACTTGCTGGAAGACTGGAAATACATTGTACGCTACCTGTTGGAATACTAAATACATTTATTATGTACTTGCCTGCTCGACATTTGTAGATGCTATACAGGTATTAAAGGTAAAGGTTCCCTTGCTCGAAAGCCAGTCGAATCTGACTCTAGGGTTGCAGTGCTCATCTCCATTTCAAAGCCGAAGAGCCAGCGCTGTCTGAAGACATTTCCGTGGTCATGTGGCCGGCATGACTAAACACCAAGGCGCACGGAACGCTGTTACCTTCCCACTGAAGTGGTACCTATTTATCTACTTGCAATTTCTTGCTTTCGAACTGCTAGGTTGGCAGGAGATACATGTATTACTACCACTCTAATTTGAATAATACCTAAGAGTTGCTTGTTTGTATGTTGCCTTTATTCTGTTCTTTTCCTTAGCGTCTTTCCGCACGTCCCCCCTCCCTTGCCCCAATATTGTATTGTTCACTGTGTGATCGCAACTCTCCAATCCTCGGGGCCAACTGGAATGGGGACCCCATGAACGAAGTCTGACCACAACCCCCAATCCACACAACCCAGGTGCTCCCTTCCTTTCAGCCCCCAACCTAAAAAACCCCCCCCGCCGCCGCCCTTGACGTGAGGGTTCCCTTTGTAGAAGAGGCAAGATGCTCATCTAACACTTACGGGCTTCCCAAGCTATGGGACATGCTCGAGGTAGCAAGAGTCTAAGGAATCGGTGCTAGGAAAGGGGGCTTGGCCCTAAAGGCCCGTGCACCGGCCTGGATCGGGGCCTGGTTCTACCCATGTAGCACGAGGAGACAGGAGAAGAGTACTGTACTGGCGGTGTGGAACCGTCGTGCAGACGCTTACAACACACAGCTTCGGAACAGGCAGAGACGGCTCGCCGACAAACCATAATAGGAAATGGACGCACCACGCGCACGGCCCCGGCATCCCTCAGCTGCTCAGACTACTGCAAGCTCCTTCCACCAGTGCCGGAGAGACTGACCCTCCTGAACCGGCCTGGCGGGGAGGTCACACGGCCCTTTCCCAGTCTGCCTGCTATAAAGAAACCAAGCTAGCAAGATTGCCCCGAGCCCGGAACGTACCCAAGACATTCTGACCCAGGCAGAGAGACGTATTCACACCGGACTCTCTGGAATGTGGGCTTTGGGGGGACCGGGGGTGGTGGTGGTGCAAGCATGCGGTTAAAATCACATCCTCTCTCCTGGTACCCACCAAAGTTTGGGGGTCAGGCACTTGATGAGCAGCCTAGGATTCCCCCCGGCTCTGTTGCTTTTGGACGGGTAAAAACGACGGCAGCTCCCAGAAGCCAAAGGAACGGAGGCTTAGGAACCGGAGAAGGGAATTTACCCGCCTTGTTCTTGCTCAGAGATCCTTTCTGGCTCCCCGCAGAGTGACCAAGAAATCAGCACCGACTTCACAGTCTCGACTTTAATTGGTCCTTCCTGGCAACTAACACCCCACCCCACTTCCTATATGTAATGGTTGAGAAAATTCTATTTCGCTGTATCTGAAGAAGTGGGCTTGCACACGAACGCTTATACCTCGAATAAAACTCCGCTGGTCTTAAGAGGCGCCACTGGACTCGAACTTTATCCTGCAACTTGACAGTCCAACGGCCTGCTTGCTTGTACAGGACCATGAAGAGAAGCCAAAACCGAGAGGGGGCAGCTTGCAATTTGGATGGGAGACTGAGGGTGGAACCAACGCCACAAGGAACGCAAGGCTGCCGCTGAAGACACCAGCCTTGTGTCCCTTACGATGCACAGATCTCCTCTGAACAGCTCGAGCCCTGGAAGTGGCGAGCGTGGAGACGGCTGCTTCCGGTTTCCAGATACAGACTGGTTCACGGTCACATTCCCCTCTTGAGTTTCGTGGGCACGAGGCGTTCTGCGGCTGCGGGGAACCAGCCACCCGCGGAGTGCATCCGAAAGTGAGGTCAGAAAGGGGCCTCCCCCTCCACCGTAAGACCCGAGGACGGGAGAAGGGACCCCGGAACAGAAAGGCCTTTCACTGGTTGCCGTAAGGACGAGGCGAAGCACAGCGAACCTGTCTTCGAAGAAGTCCCTTTTTAATTTGAGCCGAGCAGCCAAAGGAAAGCATGGACATTATTTCCTGCTATCATGTACATATTTACACAACTGTCTATACACAGGGGTCGGGAGCGGTCCCTGGGATTGCAGCGACAACCGCACAAACCTACCGGCTGGGTGTACTTCCCCCGCACTCCCTTTCCCCCTTTAACTGGTCAGGCTCTTGTGCCTTTAACAAGCAGCCTGACACATAGAAATTGAGCGGATATAACTTATGGCTCCCTCTGAGGTGAGCGTTTCCTGGTCGGATCTGTGAGCCAAACTGCAGCAGAAAGCACAAAACAGACAGAAAGGTGAGTCGGGGCAAACTATTCAAACACTGACTAAGTGTACTTGGGGAGGGGGTGTAACCGTTACCACCACTACCCCCCTTCCTCCACCATGGGAACCATCCTTAACCAACACCTCTGAAAGACCCTACATTGAAATCAGGCCTGTGGTGGGGAGAAACAGCCAACAAGATGGAGGGAGCAAGTGGTTGCTTAGCAACGGTCCAGTGCTCCCTCTGCCGGTTTTAGGCCCCTCGATAGGCCGTCCGAGGCCTCAGACTGTCTGCTTCAGTCTTGCCCCAGAGAATCAGGGCAACGAGGCCTTCCAAATCACCATAGCAACGAGGCCCCAGTGCAACTACCCAAAGGGAATGTGGCACAGGACGTTAATACCCAATGGAGGGACTTCTGTGAGGGAAGCTCACGACAGACCAGACTCCATTCTTATGTTTCCCTCGCCCCCTTTTGTCAATTATGTTCCCAGAAAGGCCTCCATTTAAGCAGCGGAAAACGGAACCCCGTGTGAAACCCCTCGAGGGCCCTCTGAAAACGTCCCACGAGGCTTCGGCCTTTCTGGGGTTGGCGACCGCGTGCACAAAGCGGCCTCTTCCTTTACAAAATTTGACGCTGAGGAGAATTCTGTGGTGGCAGACCAGTACAGCAGAGCAACACGTGCCGTTTCTCAAGGCTCGGAGCAAACCTTAAAACAGTTTTAAAAAACGTACACACCTGCTTTGCTGAAATACGGCAACGGCTTCACTTTGAAGACATCAGGATGTGGGGGTTTTTTTAAAAAAAGAGAGAGAGAAAACTCAAAATAAATTAAATAAAGGTCGGCCTTGAGACATGTCTAGCAGCAGAGTGAAGCACGGGGTACCTGAAGCGCTGGTTGGGGAAAGTGGGGGAGCACACCCTGAGTGTGGGGAAGGTGCCGGGGAGATGGAAATGAGGGCAAGTCTCGGCCCCCGCCAGCGGCATGACTCGTCGGCTATTTCTGCTGGTGCTAGGGTGGTCCTCCTCCTCCCGCCGCGGTGGGGAGCAAAGGAAGGGGTGGGGTGGGGGAATGAGTTAGTTCTTCCAGTTTCCATCGAGTTCTCCCTCCCCGTCTCTCCCTTGGGCGTGCCCCTCGTCTGGGGGAAACGAAGCCGGCTCCCCCCCCCCAAGATGCGCGGAGAAACGGCGGAGGGCTCCGACTCCCTTTCTTCGTTCACTTGTTCTTCGCCACGGCCTTGTAGAGGGTGACCCCGACCACGGCGGCCACCGTGGCCCCCAAGGCGACCCGGATCCAGAAGGAGGCGGCCCCCAAGTCGATGTCGTTCAGGTGCCTGGAAGACAAGGCGGACAGGATTTGAGGAGGAGGATGAAGAGGCGAAGATCGAAAGGAATGTGTGCTCCGGCCTTGGAGAGAAAGAACCTCCACTCCGTCTGACTAGAACAGGGGCTCCCAACATGGTGCCAATGGCACCCGCCAACAGCAACTGCCCAGTGTTTTGACAAAGTGGGCAGGGCCAGGTGAGGCTTTTGCCCAGCAAGGGTTCTGACTGGCTGTCCGGTTGTTAAAAACGTAACTTGAGAAGGAGCTGCCGCCACAGCACAAGGATCTTCACTGTGTGACTGAAAGGAAGCTGTGGCAGCCATTTTGTGGCTGGCTCTGCCTCCCGTGGCAGCCATTTTGTGACCACGCCCATCACCCTGTGTCAGAATTCCAAAGATGTCTGCAGGCTCAAAAAAGTTGGGGGGGGGGGGCTGACATTGATCCTCAACCTTCATCGGAAGCCTATTTGCATAGCTAGGAAACCCAGTGTTTCCGGAAGGAAGGAAGGAAGGAAGGAAGGAAGGAAG